TTTATTTAAATGGAATAAGTATATTAAATTTATTAAAATTTAATTCTATAAAAAATAAAAAATAAATAATTATTATAACAGAATTCTCTTACGATTCTTTTTTGTAAATGAATTCTTTACGGGGTTACAACATATATATATTTTTTTTGTATAATAGTATAATTATAGATAATTAACTTTCTATATATATATATATATTGACGTAGCAGATTGATAAGTAAATTTATGTTACTTACTTTATATATATATATCCTTCTATTTGTGTATATATCTCCGATCTATTATAATAAAATTATCAGAAAATATTTTTATATTTTTTTATTCAATTACAAAATTAGATAATTTTAAATTCTGTAAAAAATAAATAACCAGACCTATAAAAAATATTATAAATATTCTGAAAAAAATTATACAGACAGAAAAAGTTGCATTTTTTAAAAATTCATACCAATGTATAAAATCATTTAAATTTTTGATGTAAAAAGTTTGATAATATATCAAAATTTTAATCTTTCTTAATTGAAAAAAATTCCCTATGGTTCCGGCAAATAAAAGAAATAAAACCGACATAAGTATCGAAAATAGAATCGTACTGTTCAATTCATGAATTATTTATTTTTAAATTCTCTCTTCGACTTATAAATAACCAAAACGAAGCATCCGAGAAAGATTCAGAGAGTTTTGCTTACAGTACGAGTTGAGAGAAAATGCTTGTTAACTTTTGATATTATGCAAAATTTATAAATTAATTATCTTCCGTATATTGATATACTATTTATACAATATAAAGTAAATAATCAATTATTTCAAAAATTTAAGGGAATTAAAAAAGTTCCAACTTATTATTATTATTGTATTTTACTCAACTCAAGTATTAGTTTGAGGACTGAGTTCCAAGACTATATACAAGAATGATCCATAATTGAAGGCAGAGCAGTGGAGCACTAGTGAGCTCAAGCTTATGCCTCCTAAAATAAGCAAGAATCAAATCGAACTTCATGCATCGGCTATCTGCTGATTGTATGCATCTTCATCAAAATCAATGATGAAGGTTCGGATTTCCATTGGGGCAAGTTCTACGACCAGTTTTTCTGGATCAATAGGTCCACCTCGCACCACCTTGGATTCCTCTGTGGATGAGCCTTCAACTTCCCAAACAAGTCTCTTCTTCTCCATTTCCACCCTTTCTTGGTTGGCAGATAAGCTCATCTCTTTCACTTCATCTATCTGGGACACACAACAACAAGGCCATGAATCATTTAAGGTAACCAAATGGAGAGGTCATTTAGAAAGATTCAATTTGTTGTCTCAAACTCAGCTTCTTCTACCTTCTTGCCTGGGAATAGCTTCTTTAGTTCTACCTTTGTTATTTCAGAAAGATCCTTGTCTTCTCCAACCTTTGCATAATTCCAAGAATTCAAACAGAAAAACGATTAGAAGCTCTGAAACAGAGAAGGAAGAGAGAAGAGGAGTGAGGACTACTTCAAAATATCAGCAAACTAACAGCAGTATTTTTCCCAGCAATTAATTCTCATGCAACCAAGTACATTGAGGATGTTAATGGTGGACTATATGGTGAGGGAGACAAATTCAGAACTGTTAGTAAAGTATTATGGAGATAATAAACAACGTACTTGAAGCTTACAAAAAGATGCACTTTAAATGATTTAATATAGTAAA